TCTGGGAAGTGGTTTCTGGGAAGTGGTTTCTGGGAAGTGGTTTCTGGCAAGTGGTTTCTGGGAAGTGGTTTCTGGGAAGTGGCTTCCGGGAAGTGGTTTCCGGGAAGTGGTTTCTGGGGAGTGGTTTCTGGGGAGTGGTTTCTGGGGGCTGGTTTCTGGGAAGTGGTTTCTGGGGGCTGGTTTCTCGGAAGTGGTTTCTGGGGGCTGGTTTCTGGGAAGTGGTTTCTGGGAAGTGGTTTCTGGGGGCTGGTTTCTGGGAAGTGGTTTCTGGGAAGTGGTTTCTGGGGGCTGGTTTCTGGGAAGTGGTTTCGGGGGGTGGTTTCTGGGAAGTGGTTGCTGGGAAGTGGTGTGGTTTCTGGGAAGTGGTTTCTGGGAAGTGGTTTCTGGGCAGTGGTTTTTGGGAAGTGGTTTGTGGGAAGTGGTTTCTGGGAAGTGGTTTCTGGAGACTGGTTTCTGGTGACTGGTTTCTGGGAAGTGGTTTCTGGGGACTGGTTTCTGAGAAGCGTTCTTTTTTTGAGGGGGCGGTGGTGAAGGCCTAAGTCTAACCCACAGACATCCTAAAGAGGCAAGGCCCTAAGCCAAGCCAAAAGAAACCGTGGCCCTACAGGAGCGAGACCCCAAGCAAAACCAAACCAAACCCTAAAGAAGTGAAGCCTTGAGTCAAACCCACAGACATCCTAAAGAACTGAAGCCCTCAGTGAAACCGAAAGACATCCTAAAGAGCAAAGCCCTAAGGCAAACCAACCCCCCTGAAGAAGTGAAGCCCTAAGTGAAACCCAAGACATCCCAAAGGAGCCCTCACGTGAAGGCCTAAGTCCAACCCAAAGACATCCTAAAGAAGCAAAAGAAAACCTAAAGGATCGAAACCCTAAGCAAAAAAAAACAGATCCTCAAGAAGTGAAGCCCTGAGTCAAATCCAAAGACATCCTCAAGAAGTGAAGCCCTAAGCTAAGACCAAAGAAACCCTAAAGGAGCGAGGCCCGAAGCAAAACCAAAAGAGACCACAAAGAAGTAAAGGCTTATTCGACCCAAAGACATCCTAGAGACGCAAAGCCGGAAGCCCAACCACATGAAACCCTAAAGGAGTGAAGCCTGAAGCAAAAGAAAAAAGACTAAAGAAGTGAAGCCCTAAGCCCCTCTCCACTGAAGCCCTAATGCCAACCCAAAAACATCTTAAAGAAGCAAGCCCCTAAGGCAAACCAAACGAAACCCTAAAAGAGCAAAGCCCTGAGCAAAACCAAACCCAGCTTCGCCAAAGCACGTAATTACCACGACCATGTGCACAAAGCACAATATGTTGAGCAAGAGATGCTGTTGAATTTGTGCCAAAGACATCCTAAAGAAGTGAAGCGATAAGGCAGGCCAAAAGAGACCCTCAAGAAGTAAAGCTCTAAGTCACAACCAAAGACATCCTAAAACAGCAAAGTCCTATGGCAAACCAGCCAGCAACCCTAAAGAAGCGAAGCCCTAAGTGAAACCCAAGACATCCTAAAGGAGCCCTCACGTGAAGGCCTAATTCCAGCACAGAAACATCCTAAAGAAGCAAAAGAAAACCTAAAGGAGCGAAACCCTAAGCAAAACAAAACAGATCCTCAAGAAGTGAAGCCCTGAGTCAAACCCAAAGACATCCTGAAGAAGTGAAGCCCGAAGCTAAGACCAAAGAAACCGTAAAGCCGAAGCCCGAAGCAAAACCAAAAGAGACCCTAAAGAAGTGCAGGCTTATCCGACCCTAAGACACCCTAATAGCTGTGGGTTTTGCAGGTGTAGAGATACAGTTGTAGATATGTAGGTGTTGAAACACCTACCAAAAACACCCACTTAATCTCACCTACGACAACCACTTCTTTATAAGTGTCTTCTATACTCTTACGGCGGCGGGCAGGTCCGGCCGGAGCTCACGTAACATGACCCTCTACGAGGATCGCGCGTGCCAAGTGTTGAAACGTCTAGTGAAACGTCGATCGCGTTTGACGCGTTTGACCTGGATCGACCCTCTGCGAGGATCGTGCGTGTCATGTATGATAATGCGTGGTACAAAACGCTCGTTCTGGAGACTTCCGCAGCTCACTTTTGAAGGAAGTCTCGCACAAAACGCTCGTTCTGGAGACTTCCGCGGCTCACTTTGGAAAGACGTCTCGCACAAAGCGCTCGTTCTGGAGACTTCCGCGGCTCACTTTTAGAGGAAGTCTCGTACGATACGCTCGTTCTGGAGACTTCCGCGGCTCCCCTTGGACAGAAGTCTCGTGCGAAACGCGCTCTCTCTCTCTCTCTCTGTCTCTCTCTCTCTAGACTTGCGCGGCTCACTTTTGAAGGAAGTCTCGTACAAAACGCTCGTTCTGCTCACTTTTGAAGGAAGTCTCGCACAAAACGCTCCTTCTGGAGACTTCCGCGGCTCACTTTTGAAGGAAGTCTGGCACAAAACGCTCGTTCTGGAGACTTCCGCGGCTCCCCTTGGAAAGAAGTCTCGTGCGAAACGCGCTCGCTCTCTCTCTCTCTCTCTCTGTCTCTCTCTCTCTCTCTCGACTTGCGCGGCTCACTTTTGAAGGAAGTCTCGTACAAAACGCTCGTTCTGGAGACTTCCGCGCCTCACTTTTGAAGGAAGTCTCGCGCAAAACGCTCGTTCTGGAATGTTCTGGAAACTTCCGCGGCTCACTTTTGGAGGAAGTCTCGTACGATACGCTCGTTGTGGAGACTTCCGTGGCTCACTTTTGGAGGAAGTCTCGTACGAAACACTCATTTTCACTAGCAAATGCTACCTTCGAAGCACTACCGAATGATGTGTGTTCCAAAATGAGCCGCGAAGTTGGTCTCACGCTGCAGTCCCGGAGAGTTTTCTTTTCGTCCGGGTTCCAAAATGGGCCAGGTTCCAAAATGAGCCGTTTCTAGGTTTCAAAATGAGCCATGTACCCTTGTCTAAGGGGCCCGCCCTAGAAAGGAAGTGAAGTGCCCGTCCATTCTGGATCAGAGGTGTGTTTGTTGGGAGGCACATGAAATTCGAGATGCGGTCATGTACGGAATTAAATAGTGTCCCAAGTTGAGACCCTTTGAGATAAGATTATGTAGATGCAACTGCTAGTGCAAATCTTTGCAAGAGTGTAGCCAGTAGCCAGCCTGGGAATTTTTAAGTAAATGTGTTAAGATTTTGGGGCTAACTCTGTCAGGCACTCTTGGTAGGTTGGGTAGCTGTAGGAAGGATCCTTCTTAAGATCTGGAAGCCCGGCTCCCACGCAAAGCCAGGTGACGCTCCTAGCTGCTGCCAGCGACACCTTCGCCAAAAAGAATACGCAACTTGATTCATCGGTTTGGGCTCGTTCAGCTTCTTAAGCCTGCACACACCATAAAAAGCTGAGGATTTGTATTTATGATTCCTACGGCTTCCCGCGTCCTGTGTCAAAGTTTCCTTTATCGTCATGATTCTTTTATCGTCACGAAGAGCACCAGGCCAATCACAAAGACACAAACCATGCAATAAAGCATTTGTGATATTAAATATATACCATATCATGATTCTTTGCGGGGTATCCTCTATAGAATCTGGGAGCTCGAGCTCAAAATGACCCTCAGATTTTATAGACAATTTTCTTCTAGAATCAACCATCAACCCATCTGAAAAACCACCACATTTCAAACATGGGGTCCAAAAAAATCAGTTTGTTCTCTCAAAGTGGGTGCCAACATTTGATTCTATAGAGAGGGCATGTCATGTCACCAGATGTTATAGAGGTCCTAACATGTGATTCTATAGAAAGCATCTGGAATCTGGAGTAGTAGAATGTTGAGAACTTATTTTAGAGTGGATGGTGTGCTGTGAGGTCAGGTCTAGAAAATCAAAACCAACCTCTTGGGCCACAGTTATTAAATATCTTTATAAAATCAATTGCAACCTTCATATGTCCCCACAGTTCTCTATAGAATCAAGACAAATCTTGGCTATGCATCATTGATTTTCAACTTTTCCTATCAACTTTTCATGATGATGAACACCCATACCCTGACACACACTTCGGAGTCTGTTTTTTCGTTTTATAACTATAAAATGCTATAAAATCAATTGAGCCACGCCGTAAACCTCTCTTTACATTTTTGTCAAGGGCTTGGTCATAAGGAGGGTTGGCGTAAGCAAAGTCTGCTGCGTAAGGTTGCGTAAGGGTTTTTTTCAACATAACACGTTGCGTAATGTGTTTTTGCTGTTCTTTTTGTGTTCTTAGAGATACCTTGCTGGCACATCTTTCCGCAGCCGTGCCGTGTCTACGGTCACTTCACGACTACAGGCAAGTGTTGAAGTAGATTTGTGCGGACTTTTAAGTTCACACCACCTCCAGAGCACTGACAATGGAGTATGGAGTGATTTTTGGCGTAAGGTCCACGCAAGCACCGCTTAAAGACAACTTCGATTTCTAATCAGTTGCCCACTCATGGCACCAAAACAACGTCCTTTTTCACAACTGCAAGTGAAGCAGTGCAACCGAATCATCGACAACCTGGATGGTCTTTCAAACGTCGCCTAAGCTTTTCTCTTGGAGGGGTGTCACGGTGTGGAAGTTTGAGTGCATTGCTGTGGCGTAAGCCTGGCATAAGCCCTTTCTACCACAAACCAGCCGCGTAAGCTAAAACTGTGCGCGCGCAAGGAAAGCGTAAGTCTCAGCGTAAGACTTCCCATACGACCTTTCAATCCATCAAGGTTTCCAGCACAGCTCAAATCTCAAGGTACACCAGTAACTCCACAGGGGATATATTAAGAATATACGCGGCATTTATATACAAATGCCATATACATAGTTATATAGTTGTTGAGGTTCTGAAGTGCGCGGACATGTTCACCACTTTTAACCTCATGAAACTTGAGTGAACCTAAGTAATCGATTAGTTAGCATGAAGTGAGCCTTTGATACTGGTTTCAGCCTGAGGAACTGCACGGTAGAAGAGAACCTGGAACGTGCCGCAGTCAGCAGCCCACATAAGCGTCGTTGAACGAGTATTGGGCAGTTGTCAGGCAGATGTCATGAGCAGCTTGTTGGATTTGCCTCCTTGCTCACGTGGTTGCATTGCTAAAGCAAGCAAGGGGATGGTTTAATTCATTTAGAGCCTTGGCCGCCCTGTCCCATTGTATAAATCCTGGCGGTGAAGCAGTGCTTTGCACTGGCATCGCAGTTTCAGTGCTTGAGGTGGCACTGCAAGTAGCCGCTGCTTCACAGTGCCATGTAAGGGCTGCAATCTCTGTGTGTGCCGACCTCAGTGAATAGCTCGACCATGTGATCGATCGCTGAGTGGCATGCTTTTGAGGCTTGGGCTGCCCCTATGAAGGCGAAGTTCCAGCACAGCGTGTGGCACAGGCGCGGCTGGCCTGGCCGGATCTGCTTGTCCAAGCCATAACCATGGACACCTGTCCATGCATCAACCTCCGCATGAGTGGCATGCTGAGATTATGAAGTGTTATAGTTGCAGGGGCTGAAGCCAGCATGAGCAGCTTTCCCTCAACATCTCATGATGAAATTGTTTCTCGATGATCGAATTGTTGAATATTTGGGGAGAGAGACGCAGTGAGAATCAGTGAGATAGATTTGGAATTATGGACTCATCATTCTGTGGATGTTCTGGGTGTGGTTCTTGGCCATGGCATGTCCTGTGGAGGTCCTAATTAGGCTGGTGTGGGCCCTTTATAATATCAGAGATATTTGGGCTTTTGGTCACTTGGCTATGGCATAGCTCGCGAATCAAGCTTCGCACCTTTGGGCCACATCCCAAGAACTCCGTGCCAAGACCATGCCGTTGGCATCAAAGGACACTCGAGAGCAGCACCAGTAATTGATATGCCCTTGCGAACCTCGTGTGTCCAGGTGGCGAGCCGCTTGTTGGAGGCCGATCTTTTCTGTTACAGTCTACTATCATGCTTGTTCTTCCATGCTTTTCCATATTCAAAGAGTTGGAGGCTTGAAGGTCATACAGGCTATACAATTCTGATGAGTGCTATGAACATCGCGAACCTGAATCATGCTGAGCCCAATGTTTGTTACGTTCATCACATTTGCACGTGTTTTCTTCAGGGTGGCTGCCAAGAGGTGGTGATTTGTGACACCATTGGCACGGGCACCGCGGCATCCGTGCGGAAGGCCCCGCTAGCAGCTGCTTTTTAGGAATATGTAGATATAGAACAATATAGAGAATTGTACCTGGTCAAGAATTTCCTTGGCATGGATTGAACTCACCAAGTCTATTGGAACTTCCAGGTGTTGGAGGCCGTGGAAGGCAGTGCAGAGTCCTGAACGTTTGCATTGTTTTTATTGAAAACTGCCCAATTACGACATTGACATTGTGCTGAAAGAATGCCAGAAACCCCGAAACCCGTCTTGTTTGACACAGGTGCCGGTATTCCCATAGACCGTGTGGGGGTGCATTTCCACGACACCTACGGTCAGGCAGGCATTGGAGTGGTTGGAAGTTGACAGTATTTAAAGGTTTTGAAATGTATTTGATACTATTTGCGAGTTTGCTTTGGAGTTGACCGTTGTAGATGCTGCAGCTGATTTTGGCTCAGTGGTCCAGCGTGCGCCCCCATTGTGGTCCAGATAGCCGTTGTTCCTTGCGTTGCACCCATTTCGCACTGTTGCTATTCATTGGTTTTTGTTTGTGATTGCCTTTGTGATGTCACTACTCTGTGTTTTGACAAGAAGTTTCTCCTTGGAAACCCAGGTTGATCATGCCGTGCCTAGTTGACTTTTACGACTGCCTGCGCGCCTGGGCCAATCCCAAGTCCATCGGCTACCCGCCTTGGAGGAGCAGAACAGCATAGTTATAATATAAGTATATATATATATATGTATACGAATGTAAAATTGTATTGTATTATATAATTTGATTGGTTTGTGTCATTGCATTACATCACATGACATGTTTTTGCTTAATACTATCCACACACATATATATATATATAGTATTGTCCCACCTGTTTGCACAGGACATCCCATCAAGTTTCTGCCATATCATGATTCCTGGACATGGCTGTGCAGGAAGGGCAAACTTGATTGCCACGAGTATTACTACGAAGAGTTCTTGACCAAGCCGATGCACGCGCAGCAGAAAGGAGGCCATTGAAGCCGCTCAAGCTGCATAGAAGACGTGGTCCGCCCAGAGTCGAAAGCATTTGGATAATCCCATGGACTCCTACTCAGCTGAGGCTGTGATTTTTCAGGTGAACCGCTATGCGCCAGGCATTCAGATTGATTGAAGCTCGCTTGAGAGCAGGCAGAGCTAGATGCGCCAGAAGGCACAAAAAAGGAGCGCAAGAATCTGATGCCCTGATCCTGGGCTATTGTTTGCGGGGTTGGCACTGCAAAGAGTCACGTACTATAAACTTTGGGTGCATTAGTGACCTGCCCTTTCCCTGACATCAAGTCATTTTGTCGCATCATGTCACATCATGTCACACATACGTTGGCACAAATGCTTGGTCTTGGGCCCTGGGCTCAGGCCTTCGGCCTGTTTGAATTGCGTTTTGGAAAATCCTTTTTGTGCCATGGGGAGTGCTCCCAGTGGCCGGCTGTTGCAAGTAGCCGACGCCTCCCAAGCGGAGATCACCTCCACCTACGCGGAGCTGTCCCCGGAATCTCGGCAGACCCTGCAGGAAGCTTTGAAGCAATTACCCGCCGCAACGTCCACCGCAACATCTACGTCCTGTCTTGCTTGTCGTTCTTTGCTTTCGGGAGAGGTAACGGCGAGGCTTCCAGGTGCATCCGAGAAGTGGAGCTATATGGACTTGGCCACTGCTTTGCGCACGGAGCTCCCAGAGGCTAGAGCTCAGGTTATCCAGTTCTTCACGTCTCAAGAACCCTTGAAACATCTGGATGAGTACAAGACTTTGGAGGCTCAGGACTTTGATTTGAAAGGTGATATGTTCTACAGCCTTGCAAACCTGAGTGTTGGAGAGCCCATGGGACTTGGCGAAGCACAGCCACTGTTGTTGGAAGCACGTGCACGTCTTGATAGGTTGGACAAGCGAGGCATCTCGGAGATGAGAGCCTTAGTTCGTCCACCACAAGCGGTGGTCATAGTGGCCCAGGCCACTGCATGCCTTTTGCAAAAGCCCCGCAGCACTTGGGCAGACGTAAAGAAGACACTGATTGCAAAGGAATTGCTCCACAACCTTTTCTCCTTTGATAAAGATCACGTGCCCCTTGAGGCCCTTGTTGAACTCCAATGGTACTTAAACCATCCCTACTTCGAGCGAGATGAGGTGAGACGTGCATCTCTAGCTGCTGACGGGCTGCGGGAATGGGTAATGGGTATAAATGCGTACTCTTTGGCCAGGGAGCGCGTGCAAATTGGCTAACCATATGCCACCGAGTGTTTTTTTTCTCAGGATTTCCTCATTGGACCATAGAGTTTCACCGCCGGGAGTGTGTTTGTGCTTCGGGCTGCCTCAAAAACAGAAGCGTGCATACAGTCCTAGACTAGAGGCAGATGTATCATAAACAAAGAAGGCAGAAGCAGCCAGCAGCTTATTGAGAAGTAGAGCCCTACTTGACCTTGCACTGCCTCAGCCTAAGCATCACGGTGGTGAAACAGCAAAATAGAGAAGACCGACCAATGAAGTCCTGATCCTCACTTGATGCTAGTGGAGGCTGTGGCCAATACTTTAGCTGCTCTGGCCTCGGCTAGTCCGGCGGGATCGGGAGAGCGGCCAGGCAGACACCTTGGCAAACTTGGCTAGTCCATTCATCCTTTCAAAGGGACCTTTTCCATCCAGAGATGTTACCAACCTATTCTATATTCTATTCATCAATCTGTCTCTTCGTGCCACGGATTGGAGACAACATGATGACATTGGCCCCGTGTATCACCAAGTGAGATCAACAACGTGTGCGCACAGGTGGGGGCCATGTTGAGTGCTTATGTTTATCGGCACCTGACTTCAGAGTTTGAAGTGATCTGTTGGATTCAAGAATTGCACACACCGTAAGTAGGTCTGCATTTTGTGACACTATGCGTTATTTGTGGGAAGTTTTATATCTGATGACATAAAGAGCTCCCGGGTCGAGTTCTGCATCGGCAAGTCCAATCACTGACCTGTTCAAAGGCTTTGCAGTTTGGTGTGGCCAAAGTGGATGCTGCAGTGGGTGGAGTAGGTGGTTGCCCCTTCGCAGGGCCAGGCCAGGCAGGTCAATTGGACCGACGCAATAAGTTTTGGTTCTCAAAATGCGCATAGCCTGACTAGCCACGATTTGCTGGGCACTTGGTTGAGAAGAACGCACAAGTTCAGGCATGAACGATCATGAAAGCACAGCATAGCAGCAATTTGCAGTACATATACATATTGTGTATATATATATATATAGTCTTAACATGTCTTAACCTTTAATTAAACCCCTTTAACCTCGAACCTACAGGCAAGAGGACCCTAAATGTTTTGCCTCACTGCAGGGGCCAGTGGCAACGCAGCAACGGAGGACATATTGCAACTGCTGCAAGGTCTTGAAGCCTTTGGGACTGCAGTTTGAAGAGAAGAGACTGGTGGAGTTGGCCTATCTTGATCTTCAAGTCTTTTTGGTGTTTTTTTCAAAGTAATGGTGCCAACATGACAGGCTCGTGGGATGCATTAGCTTCTTGAAAACCCTGGTGTTTGTTGTATGCTGGTGGTTTCGCAGCGTCTTAAGGTGGAGACTGGCTTAAACTTTTCCAAGCTCGCAGAGACGGGGGAGTGGCTCACTTCCCACATCCTGCAGAAAGGCGAGCCGGGATCGACAAAATGAGTGTCAGTTGGTTCTGTCCCTGAAGGTTGAATTTAGTTCTTTCAGTCAAAGATTAACTGATAAAACCTTGAAATTGTGTGTGTGTCCCCTCGTGGTGCCCAATATGTGCCTTGCTGCTTATAGACCAAGGCTATTGAATACTGGTTATCATCAAAGCTCCGGGGGGTCTTGTATTGGACCTCTGCCTAGATATTATAGATTGGGCGCGGAAGGCCAGATCTTGGTAGGTTGACCTTTGCGAAGGGTCCACAAAAAGATTATGAGACGCCGTTGGCCGTTGCAAATCTCACACCTATAGCGGGGCATAGTGCTAAGTGCAAACCGCAGCCAAGACTCCTTGACACTGGCTGGTTCAGGCAATGGATCCAAGGCCGGGCCAGCAACTTTGAGGCAAAGACGGCCAGCTCCGCAGAGGTGAGGTCTTTGTTTGGTCCAACAACTCAAAATTTTTGTGTTCAATTGTCACAACTGTCCATGATTCATTCATCACAGACCGCTTTACCATGCTTTGCCTCTCCACGTTCCACTGGTGAAATGTGTGTAACATCGAAGAACATTGCTGGGAATTCATGTGGAAGGTTACAGAATGTTACAGAAAGTATTGCAGGTTTGGCCGGTGAGGCGATTGCTTCAACTCAAAAACACAAAAGAAAAAGCAAAAGAACAACCAGTAAGAACAGTCTAGCGTCTAAGGAAAGACAGGACAAGAAAAACGCAACAAGACAGCTGAAGGTTACACAAGTTATTATAGGTGATGGGAGGGGGTTCAGTTCAAACAGGAACAAACATGGTCTGACTAAGAAGACACAATAATACAGTATGACCCAAAAGGGAGACAGCTCTAATGAAATACAGAAAGGTCAAAACCAGTATATAAAAATCTAAGGGAAGAAAAGGTCTAAGGAAGACAGGAAAAAGGAAACGGTAAGAAAGGTTTGAACAGAGAAACAACAAAACAATAAAGAATAAAGAAGGCAAGGTCTAAAGAAAGAAAAGAAAGAAGGACAGAAAGAAAAACAAGAAAGAGTTAACACGACAAATAGATAAGGAAGAAAGGGCTTGAGAACGAAACCAAGGAAGAAGGCCAAACTCCAGAAAACTAAAATAAACAGAAAGAAAAAAGGTTTATCACTAAAGAAAGGTTTACAGAAAGAGAAACAACACACACAAAAAAAATAAATAAACAAGATGAACGGTCTGATCTAAAGAAAGACACACAAAAAAGCAGGAAAGGTTTACAGGTCTCAAGACAGACAGAAAGAGCAAAAGACAGCAGACAAGATATGTTGAAAGCAGAAAGTATTTCAGGTTTGGCCGGTGAGGCCAAGTTTTCCGTGGTTTCAAGTCTTTCAATTCAAATTATATATATAGCTCCATCCTGGCAAGGAGTGTCGATTCTCCACGTCGGCCCCTGGATGGAGTACGTGTTCTGGAGGCAGTGTGTTCTTCGAATCTCAAGTATCGCTGGGTGTGCTATTGAAATTGTCTTCAAGAGGGGGGAGAAGAAATTGTGCTTGAGCCTCCTTAAGAAGGGGCCTTATCAAAGAGGCCCAAGTACCATGTATTCACCCTCCTCTTTCAAAACATCTTGCGGTGTCACTCAACATGACACTGCATTGAGGTGAGGACTCTACACGTTGTGCTTTCTTGCAGATTAGATGCTGTACCTCTGTGAGTCCAGCTTTGTCCTGCAAAGCTGTGAGCACGATCTTCATCGCTACTCTTCGTTTGAATGGAATATTTCCTTGATTGTCAATAGGGATGAGGTCCCAGTATAGTTGCTATACAGGTACATGCCATATACTTTTGGCTCAAGTGCCCAACCAGGTAAAAAGGAGCTTTAGCGCGCGAGCTTCATGTTGAATTAAGGGCTAGAACGGGGCCAGGGCACACCTTTCCATCCGTTCGCAGGTTATCAGCCGTATCCAGACTCCTTTGAGCTGGGTACGAGCTGCGGCCTTACACAATACCATCTAAACGCACACGCATCGGATAGATCAGTTACCCTCAGTCACTGAAGATGGACCAATCCGACGCCAGCACTGCATCTTTTGGAGCAGCTGCTGCGGCCGCAGATCGGATGAGTGCATCCCACAACTCTAGTCCAGGTACGATCGAAGCGGAGACTCTGACAGTGGTGAGAGAAGTTGCGACAGGTAGAGCACGAAGTCGTTCCCCGTCAGCGCAATCGACACCACCGGGGGGGACACCGAGATCAGGCCGTAGCCCTAGGGAGACAAGGAGGAGGACTGACACCGGAGCTGTGAGAGTGTTAGCATTGGAACATGGGTCAGCTGTACCAGTGCCGTCGGACAGCGAAGCTGGAGATGGAGCAAGGGCAAGCACTGACAACCTACAACTAGCACGGGCCGATGGAGACCTGAATGCGAAGTGTGCGCAACTACTTGCCGAGGTGCATATGTTGAACCACCAAGACGCATGGATGGTCGAATGTGAGCAGAGACAGAACCAGATTATACAACACGAGACCGAAGTCCACGAAGTAGTGATGGCACACCTCGAAGAATGTTATGTCGAAGGATATGGAAATCAACGAAGAATCTCCCAACTTACAGAATCCAGAGACTGTTTGCTCTCAGCAGCACACGATCTGCAATACCAGATGGACACTGATCGTGTGGCAATGCGGGATCGTCTCACCCAATTAGGGGAGTACGCTGATCGCAACAGCGCAGAGATGGTTAGTCAAGTTGTGAACATCGGCACGGAAGAGATCCAGGCTATATCGGCGGAAAGAGATCGAGCCGTAACCGAGGTCATGACTACAATCGCAGATGCTGAGAACGTCAAGGACCTGTATAGACAGGAGTTAGTTGGACTACAAAGGCAGAGTGCCAGGAACAAACACGAATATGCTGAGGAGATGAAGATGAGGGAAGCAATGTATGCAAGCAAGATCAAATGGTTATCAGAAGAGAATGAGGAGCTCAACAACCGATCTAATAATCAGGACAATTTCATCATGACCATCAGGGAGCAATTGAAGAAGGCGAACGAGGAGTTGACACAGGCGAGGATTCAAGGATCCGATCGACCGTCTCAACCATCCAACGCCGAACTCAAGAAAGCCGAAGTCAAGGTGAATATGTTGGAAGAAGACATTCTACGTAAAGAGAGGATGCTGAAACGTCTTCAGGAAGAATTGATCGAATCAAGCGCAAGTGAAGCACAATTGAAGGTCGCACTGAAGTTGAAATCACCAGACATGGGATCAGAACCCAATGTGGAGAATGAGATGATGACCAAGCTTAGAGCGGAACTTGAACGTACTGAAAAGTCATTAAGGTCCGAGGAGAAAGAGGCGATTGAGTACTACGAAGGTATGATGCAGAACCAACAGGACATGATGGAATTCGAAGCGCATGCAGCATGGCTCAGAGATGAGAGGAATAAGTACCGGAGGAGGTACGAAGAGGAGCGCCTGAGTGCAGAGAATGCAGCCGCAACCGAACATGGTGCCGCCTCATCCTCTAGCTCGGGTGGCTCCAGGATATCTCGGAAGGAACACGAGAAGATCAACATCCCTGCATGGCCCAAGATACACGACCTGGAGGTTTGGAAATCCCAGGTTGTAGCGGCAGTCGTGACGGCATCGGGCGACGAAAAACAAGAAGATTGGATCCAATGGCTCTCGGATGCCTTCAGATCACCATATGACCCATTTCTGCTCGAGACATCAGGCGAAGCAAGATTCGCCAGCATAGACGCCAAGCTTGGTATCACCCTACATACGATCATCCACGCAGCAGGTGAGAGACCTCATGACGTACAACTGAAGGTGAGGCAGATGATGCAGAGACGTGCGAGAGGCACAACTCCTGGAATGGTCAAGGGACGAGAAATGTTAGCGTTGATCGTCGATAGCTTCCGGAGTGCCGACAACGTCGATGTGATGTATGCATCCAAGCACTTATTCGATCTAAAGTTCCCTGGGGATAATCAACTATCCAGATTCCTTGGACAGTGGGATGAGATCATATCAGGTATGGATGCGGATGACATGCTTCCTGACAAAGCACTCCGCAACCTGCTTTGGGATAAGATTAAGGATTCCAAAGTTATGGCGTTAGACTTGTCCGTGTACGACAACATGTTGGATAAGGATCCGGATAAGACCTACCAGAAGTTACGAGAGATCATGGCGAAGTGGATACGGAAATCAATCGAGACCACAAACAAGAAGGAAAGGGAAAAAGCTTTTGGGAACCTCGTGAAAGCCACACCAGCGGCGGAGAAGAAGGACCCTAAAGCGAAACCCAAGAATACCAAGGCCGATCCACCGAAGCATGACGCCGCTCCAGTACTTCCTCAGGCTAATCCGAAGGACCACAACAAGAAGGACAAGAAGCAGGATCGTGGAAGATCAACCACGAAGAGCCCAAAGGGGGATCGTGGCAGGTCAGCGACTCCAGCAGATACGTCCAAGATAGGATGCGCTTTCCACTTCCATGGGAAAAACGGATGTTCTAGAGGAGACAAATGCAAGTTTAGTCACCAAGAGAAGCACAAAAGTTCTGCTAAGAAACCAGAAAGCCTCAAGGGTGACAGATCAAAGAGTCCTGGTGGCAGGAGCAGTAGCCCTAAGCCAATGAAGGATCAGGTCTGTTGGAATTGGCAGAAAGGATCGTGCAAGTTCGGGGACAAATGTCGGCGTCAGCATCACGCTGCCCCTGCTACAAAACAAGAGGCTAAAGGCAAAGCCAAGCCCAAACCGGCTGCGCCAGCCTTCATGCTTTGCGGAGACATCGAGAGTGATGACGAGGACGTACAACCCGCACTTCCCAACGTACAACAAGGTGAGTTGGCGCTTCGCTTTAAAGTCAGATTCGATGACCAGGCGAATGTGACCACGTTCACCTGCGATCCTGGTAATGAGCTGAACACCCGTCCCCTCAGGAAGAAGAAGAATGAGGTGCGGAAGGTGGATACCGAGTTCATTTCGTCGTTGAGAGCCCTCAGAGTGAGCAATATAGCTGCACGAGTAGCACATGCCAAAGGTAAGATGATGGAGCTATTTTCTGCTGAACACATTGCCAAGGCATGGATACAAATCACTCGAGATGAAGGAATCGAGGTGAACGTCGACCTGTCTGACTTCAACACCAGCGAGGTGGTAAGGGAGGATTCTGTCAACTACACGATACCAGGAGACACGATGTTCATGGCTGTGGAGAGGTATGATGGACCACCGATACGCTTCATCATGGACACGGGATGTGGACACGACTTGATCTCAAGAGAGAAAGTCAATGCCATGGGCCTTACCACCAAGGAAGGACCCAAATCCGTGAGCTTCATGACAGCGAATGGTGTAACTAGTACATCAGAGATGGTGGACATCAATGTGGACGAACTACCCATGAGATCCGAGGCACACGTGTTGGAGAGCACACCATCAGTCTTTTCCATTGGGAAACGGTGCATGGAACAAGGGTACTCATTCATATGGCCGGCAAATCAATTGCCATACCTCATCGACCAGAACGCGAACTAGATTCCGCTATCGGTGCATGACAACATACCCTACATCAAGGTGAATGATGATGACGGGAGATGTTTACCAAGACCAGACGGCTTGGCTACGATACTTCATCGCATACTGTCGGGTGTGGGGCATGAAGACGAGGCCACAGCAGGTCAGGAGACACAACAAGAGGAACTTCCGCCCAAGAAACCACGGAGACGGAGGAGAAAGAAGAAAGATAACCAGAGAGATCGGGATGATGAATCTGATATCAATCCAGCTGTTGCAGGCGTCGAAGGAGAACCAGAGGAACACGGTGATGACAGGTATTCTCCTGAAGAGGAATATGACGGGGAAGACCCGAGAATCGATCGTGATCACGATGACCAACCTGAAGAAGCCGAAGACGACGAACATGGAGGTGATGCGGATTCTGAACGAGAGGAGAGTGACATTGGTGAAGATGAAGAGGGGCTATTGGAAGTCGATGTGGTTGACGGGGAAGCCAGACTATCAAAGCCAGGAGTGCTGAAGAACGAGGCGAAATCCATATTGCACCTGATGACGCACCGATACAAGAACCCATACTGCAAGTCATGTGTGAGAGCAAAGATGAAGCACTACAAGACTAGCAAGGGAGCTTTCAAACGGAAATTGAAGGCATTCGGTGACCTTATCACTTTCGATCTCATGAACACTCAGAAGATGGCGAGAGATGGGATCATGCCGGATAAGGATGTATTGGTGATTCGAGATCGGTTCACTGGTGTGATATGGGGTTATCCTTTGAAAGCAAGCAATAGTGACGAAGTGGTGCAGGCGATGAAGCACTATATCGGTAAGAGAAAGGTCACCAACGCTTACTCGGATGATGCGCCACAATTTGAAGCAGCACTCAAGGAACTCCGGATTCCACTAGACCAGTCGCTTCCAGGACATCCCCAGAACAA